GAGAGAGAGAGAGAGAGAGAGAGAGAGAGAGAGAGAGAGAGAGAGAGAGACAGAGACAGAGAGAGACAGAGAGAGAGACAGACAGACAGACAGACAGACAGACAGAGACAGGGAGTTGGGGTACGGTTTGTGGAGGACAATACATTGAATGGTGGTCGCCACAGTCACAGATAGTAGCAGTGCTGGTCGGGCTACAGGCACTCCGCTGACGAATAGGTCTCAGTATCGCCATGCCGGTAACGCTCCATGATCATCCATCAAGCCATCATCATGGTACTACGCGGTGTCATTGTCGCCCTTACAAAAGAACAGAATGATGCCAATGCCCAATGTTTGTGTTTGGCATTCGGTGCAAAACAAAAATAGCCTTTACCACCCTCTGTCTCCTGCGCCGTTGAATGACGAATTTGCTTGGAGACGTCTTCTCTATTTTCCTTTCCAAACAATGTCATTCACTGCAACTGCCCCTAGCTGTCTGAACCTGTGTTCTATGCATGTAGACTGTACTCGGCTTGCGCCAGAGCAACTTGCCACTTGAAAGATCCTATACAATGACTATGTACATGTACATATACATGTGGCTGTAGCACTGAACTCACCTAATACGGTCATACAGTCATGTACATGTACATGTACATGTATGTATTCGGATACAACGTACATCTACTCTTGCCGGACATTAATATGCAGGCGCACGTGGCTCTAATGCACTTGATTCCAGTACAATCAGTGTCTGTGGATTGCTTTGGCCTTGCTGTGTGCATGAAACGCAGCGTTACAGCAATGGTCTAGCCGATTGTATCTGTTCTCTTCTGCCTTGGTGGACTGACATTACGTGACGTACATGGAGCGGACGTTGTATGCTTCATCGTTGACAGGAAAGAGATCCTGAAGTTGGGACCGTCGTGCATGTTGAAAAACCATCAAGGCGGACTGCGGGTCACTAGTGTGATCCTAAAAAAAAGGAGTTTATATACCAGTTTAAACACCAGTTTATACACCAGTTTATATACCAGTTTATATAGTATATTCTCGTCATCGAAGTACCTGTTTATATGGAAAATACAAGTCTGGAGTGTTGTGTGGGGAGAGATGGGCGTTTGTATGGAAGCTCAGTATAATTATTATTCTTTTATTCCACGATGGCGTAACTCCAATAAGGATGATTAATAAGTGCGATAGAACTGGTACTAGCCAGAAACAGCTAGATGGAAATTAACCGGGAGGCAAGAAGCAATGGATCATGAAAAACAAGCGGGGGCAATAACGTTAGCAGGGGTAATCGAGATAGTTAAGTACACGTTCGAGATATCAGAAACCAGGGAGATGCGCGGAGCAGGAACAGGTACTGCTCAAAAGAAGACTGGATGCACTGTTTCGGAAAGAATTTCTACGAGGTTGGGTTGTGATGTCGATAGCGAGTGAGTTGAAGAGGATGAGGGCACTATTGAGGGGGGGGGGGGGGGGTGGATAATCATGTATATGTGCATGTGTATGCATGTATGTATATATTGTAACAAGGAACCGAGTGTATATCTCGATATACACGAGGTCCCTTATTCTTACCTCTCCATATTCACCGTGTGTGACCTCCTAACAGCAGCAGCAACTGCAGCAGCAACAGCAGCAACTGCAGCAGCAGGAGCAACAGCAACAGCAGTAGGCAGCACACTTAGCTAAGAAGTCAGCGTTGGGAGCAGGCTAACCCTCACATGGGACACAAATGTGAAAAGCAACAGAAACAGACACAAAAGCATTCAGATGCTAAAGAGTAGCGGAATGGTACCGTAGACACTGCAGAGTGTGGAGGACAGAATACTGTATTGACTTTGTTCTAAGGTAGATAGGCACTCGGATATGTGGTGAAGTATAGATAGGCACTGATATGTGGTGAAGTATAGAACAGCTGATTGTCCTTGTGGCAAGGTAGAAAGACACCAGGATGTGGTAGACTGCACGTCCACGAGTACGTTTTCTTGTCATCAGACGGGATTGGCCAGGATAGGATCCTGCATTGTGTTGGAGTCAAGAATCAAGCACATACACGCACACACACACACAGACACACACACACACACACACACACACACACACCACACACACACACACACACACACACACACACACACACATCATTGGACCATTGGACGCCCATCGCCGAAGGCGATGATAGCGATGCTACAGCAGAAGCCATAGCAGCTTGTGCTCGGATTGCACCATTCAACAACTTGCAAGGCTGAAGAATTGACCGCCACTATTCAGCCTGGTCTACACCACACAGCTATGAAGTGGCTTTTCTGGCCAGTGAATCCCTACTTTTTGGTCTTTTTTCATTTTTTTCCGCACACACATCACAACACATACTCCGACATGCACTGGCTGTTGGTAACCTTCCAGGAGAATGAAAGAAAAGTCAGGAGAAGTCTGAGAAAGAGAAGAAAGACGTGTGTGACCATAATCGTCGGGAATCGAACCCGCAACCCCTCGATTGGAAATCGCTGCACATACCACTGCACCATATGGGACACACACACACATGCACACACACACACATGCACACAGACATACACACAGACACACACAAACAAACACACAGACACACACAAACAAACACACAGACACACACATACTACTACTATGTACAGCTACCCTATTGGGAGACAAGGACAAGAAGAAAGAAGAGAAGAGAGAGAAATCGCAAAGTCAACAAAATTCGGCATGGCGGTGCAAGTCCTGTGGCCCTGAAAACCGCCTTTTGCAATTTCTCTGCACTCTACTGATAAGCTGCTGACTATGAAGAAAACGACAATGTCTGCCGGTTGTCAGTGAAGTACTCGTCACGATAGACACAGGAACATCTGATGCCATCATGCTATTCCAAAGTCTACACGTGAAGGTTGGGAAATTGACCACCACGAATCACCCCACACCCACCACGACACACACACATGCGCACGCACACACACATGCGCACGCACACTCGCATGCACACACACTCGCGTGCACGCATGCACACACACTCTCGCATGCACGCACACACGCGCACGCACACATACGCACGCACACATGCGCACGCACACATGCGCACGCACACCAACACACATGACTACAGGTAAGCATGCTCAAGCACGTGTTCAAAGCATTTGTTACCTTTTCCGTGGAGTATCGCGGCGGATTGGAGCCTGTTGGGTCGTATGCGTACGCAGTTACAGGTCCAGCTCTGGGTCCTAGCATGCCGGCTGTTGGTGCAGTATTCACAACGGTCTATTGACACACACACATACACACACACACACACACACACACACACACACACACACGCATTATAGTAAAGCAGCAAGATAAGCGTACTGAGATAGGAACGTGAACGTCACGTGGGATTCTGGGCGAGGTTGCTATGCAGAGGAGGGAGGGGAGGCTGCGCTTTGCAACAAACAGCAGCATGTACAACGGAGTGACACAAACGCAGCAGCATGTACAACACCGAATTGACAACGGCAGGAAGCTTTGCTGTGTTGCAGAGTTCCAGGCCGAAACGGGCGATCATCAAACAGGAGTGATGATCGGCCGTTTCGGAAAGGAACTCAGAGTAACCCCACACCAAAGTGTCCCACCACTGTGAACTTGTACTGAGCATAGTTCATGCTTGACATACTTCTGTTGTCCGTGACATCTACGAGGTCGGTTCTCTTTTGGGTCCATGCAATTCAGGGGCGTACGCCGCTCGCCTCCAGGAGTGGTTCCCATGCCAACTGATGTGCCAACATTCCACACAATTGAAGTGCTGTTTTTCGTATCCCATGGAGTTTCTGCATATTCTCCTCAGACTGGGTGAAATTAACATCCACAAGCTGCTGGACGATGTCATTGCTACGCACTTCTGATTTTACGTTTTATAGATGTTTTGTTCAGCATGACGATTGCATGCAGTTTTGAAAGCTGCCTAAGTTTCGAATCATCTGGAGCAAACATCACACAGGGCAAGCAGAAGCCACCATTGCACGCCGGTCAAAAGACTACCCAGGGCAACTCCTCTAATAACAAGGATAGTTGAAAGTGGCGCTGTTTGCCATCCGTCTGGACACGCACAGGAAATGAAATCCTTCGCCTTCGGTGGCGCACAATGATTATCGATGACGGAAATCTTTTCCGCGTCCGGCAAATTTCGGGGGACTGGATTACACTGTGGACGTCGACGTTCAGAATATCCCTTCCAACACACTCCCATGTCACTGAAGTAAGTTTTGGATGATCCAGCAGCTTCCAACAACGGTCGCTCTACAGCTTCGCCGACAATTTCTTCCGCAGCGCTGCTCGTTGCATGCAGACTTCGCTTGCAAGTCAGGTGCGTCTGCATTCTTTTTCTCATCTATCGCTTGACCTTCGCCACTAGCACTGGCTACATGCTTTGCCTGCTGCTCAAAATAGCTCTGAATAGAGCTCTGGCCCTCTGGATGTCAACGCTTCATTTTTCTTTTCCACAAAGCGAAAGCATCGTCCAAAACACGACCAACTTTGTCAAAACAAACTGCAAAGGAAAATTTGACTCTGAGATCGAGGAATCCGGCGATGTACCTACAATTTATAGAGACTTTGTTGAACCCAGTTCAGTACGCTGTTACCACTTTCACACCTGGGCTACAGTCACCGTCCTCGGACCGTCAGGCGGACTCCATGGATCCAGGCATGCACTGCATGCACTGCGAGCGCTGGGCCTGCATCAAAAACTTCTTCGTACCCATATCGAAGTTTTTTTACTGGTTCCCGGGCATCCCGGGAACCACCCTATGTACGCCCCTGTGCATGTGTCCGTGCAGTCGGTGTGCGGACTGCGCAGGTTGTTACACAGTGCGCATGCGTGTATTGTACGCATCCTTGTTTCCTCTTCCGATGCCTTTGTAGCGACCTGACTCACTGGCTATTACGTCATTTATACATACAAGCATGCGCAAGAAAATGTTATTCTCTTTGGTCTCAACTTCTTTGTTGTCCGGTTGGCCAAAGTAGCCGTCGTCTAGAGCCCGACGTAAATACCCTAAACCTTATTCCGGAGACTCTCCTTGGAGCAGGATAACATGATCTGTCCTCTTTGTCTGGTGTACATGGGACGTAGTACGTGTGAGAGTAATCAGAAGGGCATATCGTCCGGGCGGATAAATACCCCCGACGACAGTTGGCGCCCAACTAGTGGTATTGTTGTCCACGACCCTGAGATCGTTTTCGTTTCCGCCAGTGCTTCACATCTTGTCTCCGCAACGCGTCCTCGCCGTGGCTCCGCTTTCCTGCTTCTGCTCAACCCTGTTCTCGGAGCTCCTACTCAGGTGAGCATGCTTTGTCTGCACTGCGTCATGTTTCGTTCCTTGTCCATACTAGTATTCGATTTGGGATTTTCAACTTGTTTCGCGAAGGGTCTCGGCGTAAGTCCGTGGAACCGACGTCTTTGTTCCCTAGTGTACTCTCGATTGCGCCTTGCTCCTGTTTGTACATGATTGTACTTTGTAGCGCACGTCGTTGTGCGTGTCACTGTTCGCGTGCTTGTGTGACGCTCCGGGCATGCTCGGAGGCTAGTGTGGTAGTGTCTTGGTTTTTGTCAGTTCTAGATTCTGGACGGCCTTCATCGCGTCTTTCGTTCAAGTCTGCATTTCCAGTATTGAGTATGATTGTGTAGCTGTTGTGTAGTGTCAGTGCCTGCGGTTGCATGTGCATGATGAGCTTAGAGAGAATTTAACGCTTACCACAGATGCCTGCGAATGGTCTTCTGGCGCGACAAAGATAGAGGTTGAACAGCAGCAGAGAGCACCGCAGAACAGGGATGATATCACAATGTTAATGATCACGAGCACACTGCATATGGCTGCCACAGCCAGGTAAATGTTGGGTAGGGTCTCTGTAGCAGAGCAAAACCGAGACAAGGGAAGGGAGGCAGGGTGAGGGAGAGACAGAGAGAGGGGGGGGGGGGAGAGGGCCAGAGAGAGAGGGGGGGAGGCAGGGAGAGTGAGAGAGAAGAGGGGGGGGGGGGGGAGAGGGACAGAGAGAGAGAGAGAGAGAGAGAGAGAGAGAGAGAGAGAGAGAGAGAGAGAGAGAGAGAGAGAGAGAGAGAGAGAGAGAGAGAGAGAGAGAGAGAGAGAGAGAGAGAGAGAGAGAGAGAGAGATAGAGAGAGAGAGAGAGAGTTTCGTGCACTCGCACATGTTGTCCAGGCGTCAGGGGCCCAGCCTCCCTGCCCATCCGACCCGCCACACACAACAACGAAACTGAACTGGGAGTTCTACATAATTTCTTGACAAGACGGAGACGGACAGACAAGAAGACCGGACACGACGAGGTAAACTGAAAACTGAAGAAAAAGACTAACATTTATGGCAGCATACGAGCATGCGCCCAAACAAAACATAACGCATGACAATGACGTAACCGTTACTTGGATATGTACAAACTATACATGCAACCAAAACCAGTCAAATACGAGTCAAAGCAGAACGCAAAACAAACCAAAATAAACGAAAGGACCGCAACAAAAATGAGCCATGAAAAGTCTTTCTACCGATACACAACATATTCCCCACCAAAGACCTTTTCAGGGCTCTACGAGGACCGCGAACACTGTGCCATATGCGGATACGCCGCAAGCGTACTAATCAAACTAACTACAAGAGGCAACAAATAAACAATCGACACGCCAACAAACTCCAACGAAAGTCAACGTCCGACCAGGGACAAACAAATCAAACTCAAACAAATCGAGCAAAAAAAACTATTCAAACAACTCGAGCAAACCGAACTAACAAACTCGAGCAAAACAAACCACTCAAACAAATCGAGCAAACCAAACCACTCAAACAAATCGAATCAAACTAATCAACAAATCACAGCAAGAGCACCTTCTAACTCCGCGTCACACTCCCATGGGGTTATTTGTTCACGATGCGTTTTCCTTCGCACCGTCCTGGTCGTAGGAACCAGCCACTCCTCGCAGACGTTTATCCGTCTTCGTCTGCCCTCAGCGCATTCAGCTCCAACGACTTCCGCCGTACCAACCTCGTCGTCTTCACCAGCCACCTCGCGGGACGTCCCTGCCCTCAGCGCATTCAACTCCGGCGGACCAGCCACTCCTCGCAGATGTTCATCCATTTCATCTGCCCTCAGCGCATTCAGCTCCGACGAGCCAGCCACTCCTCGCAGACGTTTCCTCGCTCAGCGCCTTCAGCTCAGACGACGTCGTTTTGGTGATTTGTTCTCGATGCGTTTTCCTTCGCACCGGAGTTCCTGCCGGTTCCTCGTCTCCCTGACAATCCTGGCGTGGTCGCCAAATTTCGTGCACTCGCACATGTTGTCCAGGCGTCAGGGGCCCAGCCTCCCTGCCCATCCGACCCGCCACACACAACAACGAAACTGAACTGGGAGTTCTACATAATTTCTTGACAAGACGGAGACGGACAGACAAGAAGACCGGACACGACGAGGTAAACTGAAAACTGAAGAAAAAGACTAACATTTATGGCAGCATACGAGCATGCGCCCAAACAAAACATAACGCATGACAATGACGTAACCGTTACTTGGATATGTACAAACTATACATGCAACCAAAACCAGTCAAATACGAGTCAAAGCAGAATGCAAAACAAACCAAAATAAACGAAAGGACCACAACAAAAATGAGCCATGAAAAGTCTTTCTACCGATACACAACAGAGAGAGAGAGAGAGAGAGAGAGAGAGAGAGAGAGAGAGAGAGAGAGAGAGAGAGAGAGAGAGAGAGAGAGAGAAACAGAGAGAGAGAGAGAGAGAGAGAGAGAGAGAGAGAGAGAGAGAGAGAGAGAGAGAGAGAGAGAGAGAGAGAGAGAGAGAGAGAGAGAGAGAGAGAGAGAGAGAGAGAGAGAGAGAGAGAGAGAGAGAGAGAGAGAGAGAGAGAGAGAGAGAGAGAGAGGGGGAGGCAGGGAGAGTGAGAGAGAAGGGGGGGGGAGAGGAGAGAGAGAGGTAGGGAAGTAGGGAGAGAGAGGGGTTTGGGGTGAGGCAGAGGGAGAGAGAGGGAGAGAGAGAGAGAGAGAGAGAGAGAGAGAGAGAGAGAGAGAGAGAGAGAGAGAGAGATGGATAGAGAGATAGATGGAGATGGTAAAAGGGGAGGGGGAGAAGGAGAGGGAGGGAAGAAAAGGAGGGACGGAGAGAGGGACAGAGAGAATGTGAAAGAGATTGGGAGGGGGGGGGGGGTATAGGGACACAGAGTGACAGAAAATAAAGTTGCCGGTCACACCTTGCTTTAGCCGGGTTCCTCATACCCTAATGTTGCCAAATTTCGTAACCAATTTGGTCTCTAGCTCACTCAGAGTGGATCCGATATAAGCAACAACAAATTCTTACCCAGCGGTTTATCTAGCTGGATATAGTCAAAACACAGAGGTTGCAAGCTGTCCAATACAGTGCTCAATACCGAAAGGCAAAGCAAGTTCAAACAATAGTAAGAGGATGAAAAAAGTTTTTTAACTCAGAGTTTCACGCACTAAGCGATCATCAGAAAACAGTAATGGGTACTGTTACTCGAGATACTGGTTTATTACTATTATTATTATACGCACGTCCGCGTTTACGTCAACAGTAAGTCCACGTATTCGCATGTGCCAGAAGACAGGCAGAGTGGGCAGGGAGGAAAACAAAAAAAATAAAAATAAATGTAAAACAGCAGGCGATAGGCACATAACTCATGCATCTATTCGAAAGATCAAAAAATAAAACAAGAATAACAGACAACGACGATAGGTTTGTAGCTCATGGTCGATGGTAAGTGCTAAATGCACGGGATCTGTACAATGCCTCTGTCCCATCCGTTAGTTACTGCGTACACCCTGGCACAGCTCGCGCCACGCAGTCCTGTCAGCGGCGATGGCCCGCAGGTGCTCCAGGTCTGCCAAGTTCCTCAGACTCCTCAGTCCTGCTGATTCTAGGTCCGCGGATAGTGTGGACACGATGGTTGTCCGTGGCCGCCCTCGCCATACCTTGTCCCCACAGGTGAAGTAACTCCGCATAGCGAGGGTGGCAGGCGTGTCTTGAGGGAGTCTAAGAATATGCCCAAACAGGCCCCATCTGGATTGCCGCATGAGGGCACTGATGGGCTCTGCGTGGCATCTGCCGTACAGAGCTTTGTTTGGAATCACCTGCGGCCAGCGGATACCCAGGAGACTCCGAAGTTGTCTTCGATGGAATGTGTCCAGACGCTCCCATGCTGAAGCCGTCAGTCCCCAGGTGCCTCCATTGTACGTTAGCACAGGGATGATAAACGCGTTGTAAAGCCTTAGCCGTAGACTTTCGCTGATGATCGATCGACGACACCATACCATGAATAGCGCTCTGAAGGCTGCCGTTGCTAATTGTTTCCTTCGTGCAACATCTTCCTCGTCGCCGAGGAGTGATCCGAGTTTTTTTTTGTTTTCCGCCATACTTCAGCCAGGCGGTCTCCTTCCCGGCGCAATGTTGTTCATGGCCAGCAATCAAGGACATCTGAGAGTTGTAATTTTTGTACTCCTCCGAGGTGTGATTTTTGGCGTGCTGGGCCAAGCACAAGGAAGCCATCTGCAAAAAAACTGCAGAAAATGGTTGTTGTTTGATCCTTTGGTGTAATCTTTGTTTCTAGTCGAAGCTAGTTGCTGTTTGGAGCAGAAACGCTGAAATTGACTATTTTCTGCATGTACTCATGTACTCAGGCATGCAGTCTCACTCGTATTTTAGCTATTTTTCTGGAATGGATGCTGCTCTGCGCCCCTTGGTGAACATTTCCTGCGCTCGTGGAGCAGCTGAAAAGGACCACTGGTATGTCTGGTTCCTGGTTTGAAAGTGGAGAATCGACTTTTGTGCCTTGAAAAAGGAGTAGAGAGCGATAAAGGTACGTCTGTGGCTGATTTTTGAGTGCTCCTCGTACATTTTTGATCGTGATAGAAATTCTCAGACCAAAGTGTTACTCCACCACTATGCTCTCTATCTCTTCCAGCTAGCACTCCAGCACACTCGCACATGCACTGAGCCACAACTATCAACCAGGAATCAAGAGAGTTGAAATATTGAAATAGTGGTAAAGTTGGGAGAAAAGATAACTGTTCTTTTTCCACGAGATCCAAGATCCATCAAGAAAAAGGACATGCACAAAATGGCGACCATGTCGTCCATTGACGCGTAATCATGGTAATCACAAACTAGTGCAGCGACCAAAGAAAAGACACAAGTGAAGAAGAAGAAACAGCGCTGCAGCAAGAAGATCGGATCGCTGCAGTCGCTAAAATGCACTAGCCTACTGACTGTAGTTCCACGTGAGCATGCAGTCACGTGGTCATAAACAGAGTGCGTACACACTCACGTCATACCGATACGCCATACATGACAAAAAGAAAAGAAAGGAAAGTCACGCGCGAGTCAAACAAATCAAAGAGCGCGAGACTACGTACTGCAAATACTACGAAGAATTTGTTTGAGAACAAATGCACAAGACGAGGAATTTGTTTGAGAACAATTGCACAAGAATATCTCTTCGAAACTAGAATGGAGTCCGTGATGAGAATTCCAATGAGCCTGGACGCAGCTACAAAGTAAGAATACAATCAAATAACTAATATCGTCAGAACTATTGTAACAATACAAGCAGTCGATTTACCACAGTGTTATCTCTATATTTACAAAAGTCAGACCAAAGTCAGCGCGATGATGGTCGTACAGTTTTCTTGTGAATTTTTTAGTTGTTTCATCTCGTATCTATGTCAGTATCGTGATGGTGAAGTGGAGAGGGTGATTTTCTTCCTCTAGGCTTCGTTCGGCCGACTTTGCTTCGTCCTCGTTGAAAAGTGATCCTTAAAAAAAGGTCGATTCGCAAAATTATGTTGATTTTCAATGTACGAGATGACATGCGATTGCTGGCTATGTTTTCTGTTTTATCTTCGTTGACCTTTAGGTGCCAGTCTCCAAGGATAGTGATGATATACGGTTCGATGCTCTCCAGCCAGGGTCTGGATTGGCTGATGAAATCAGTGTCATCGGCATAAATCACTTCTGGTGGTAGAGCCATGTCGCGCATTGGCCTGGGCGGAATCGATGCTCTGATCTCCCTCAAGGCTGATTCCAGGTAGATCACAAATACTACAGGAGAGAGAGAGTCACCTTGGGGGTTCCGATGGTGGACTTGAAATCAGGTGAAACTTCCTTTCCAAGACGGACAGATATGGTTGTGTTTGACAGCAATATCCGTACCAGTCGGATGTCATCCTCCGTGACGATTGCTCTCATGGTACTCAGCAGCTTCTCCCTTGAAACGGTGTCGAAAGCCTTCGACATATCTATTCCGTGAATCTCTATTACGCTCTGGTACTTCTGGGCAATTGCAGCCATCCACCGGTGTGCCCAGACGGCATCCGCCGTCGACCTTCCGGGTCTGAATCCACTGTGTGTAGGGCTAAGGTACTCATTCACTGCCGGTTGGATACGTCTGAGGGTCAATAACGATACAGCCTTCCTGACGGAATCCAGCAGAGTGATTGGGCGCAAATTACTGGTCTGTCCCCTCTTCTTGTTGGGCTTCTGCAGTGGGATTAGGGTGCCTGCTCCTAGATCTATAGGGCTATGGAGTTCGAACATGCGGTTGAGGCAGAGAGCGATCCTGGCTGCTAGTTCGGCGCCACCATACGTCACCAACTCTGCATTCACCCCATCCGGGCCTGGTGCTCTGCCATTGTTGAGGCGCCCGATGCACGTTTCTAGTTCTGCTGCTGTTATTGGACGCTGCAGAGGCCTCGGCTTTCCCTCAAACGGGTCGATAGGCTTCTCACTGTTGCGATTGAATTGCGTGCTGAAGTGCGTTCTAATGATATTCAGGGATACTTCGGCATTTCCAACTATTCTTCCCTGGGAGTCCTCGACCACCACTTTCTGTGCTTGCTTTCTTGTCATAACTGTCACAGCTTTAAACATTCTGGCACCATCTTTCAATCTCTCCACTTCCTCTGCCATCGAGTTCAATCTCCTCTCGTTGCTCTCTTTGCATCGCCGCCTGATGTCATGTTGAATGATGTTGCGTTGAATTTTCAAGTCCGCCCGTTTACTAATGTTAGTTGTGCTTGCCCAGCTCAGTCTAAGCTCCTTCTGCTTCTTCGACAGCCTTACTATCTCGGGATCCGTCGATTGTCTTCTTTGCGGCTTTTTCTCGTGCCCCACAACGCTGCTCGCAACCGTACTGATAGTGTTGATAATTTTTTCATAAGTTTTTTTGACAGGATGTTTCCTTATCTAGTGACCGCAAAGACTCCGTGACTGCCTCCTGGTACTGACATTGAACCTCCTTGCTCTCTGCAAGTTTCTTGACGTTGATCTTGTCCGCCGAGACGGAGGGTGCTGAGGTTGGTCCTGTCACTGTTCGTTGTCTGCCATGGAGCACTCCATATAGTCTGGAGAGGTCCAACTCAGCAACAACTAGTCGGTGATCAGTGGTAAGTTCAATTCCAGCATAACTTCTGCTATTCCTCAAGAGCCTTTTTTGAGACGAGCGACACAGTACATAATCTATCTGGTTGTAGACCAGCACAACCTTCTGTGTTTGGCTATCCTTCTGCCACCCGGTCCAGGTAGTAATGTGGCGTGCTGGATGCTGAAATGATGTGTTGGACAAGAATAGGTTGTTACATTCACAAAAATCCAGGAGCAGCTGGCCAGCTATATTCCGCTTTCCCCTGCCGTAACTGCCGATCGTAGTTTCTCTTGCTTTGCGGGTGCCAGCCTTTGCATTGAAGTCACCCGTGATGTACAGCAAAGTGCTCGACTTGACTGTATCATATGCTTGCGAGAGTGCGTCGTAGAATTTATCCAATTCATCGACCGACTGCAAGCATCGCGAGCTCGCCGGTGCATACACGTTAATTATTGATAGTTCACCTTTTCCTCCGACCTTCGCGCTGTCCGTGTCCTTGGCGTTACCTCCACCGCTATCGTTCTCAAATAATTTGAGTGTCAGGACCGCGACTCGGTCGGAAACCTGCCAATATCGCTGGATATTGCTGGAAAGTCCTGATGACACCACGAATCCCAGACCGTAGTGGCGACATTCTGGCGGAAAGCAAATCAGACGATATCCATCCCTCACGATATCCAGGCCACGAGACAATTTCGTTTCTTGAATGCAACAAATATTTATTTTATAAGATTTCAAACCGCGTTTGAGCGACTCTTGTCTTGCCGTGGACGAAATGCCCCTCACGTTCAACGTCGCTAGAGTAAATCGCGCTGAAGAGCGCCTGAATCCTGCCAGCATTGTCTGTCTTCCGATAAATACGAGTCTCTCTGAGGAGAGAGAGAGAAAGCGTAACCTTCCTCAACCTACTGGTTTATACACCCACAAAACAACAGTGCACGTGACAGCAGTTGTGAAAGATTGCATCACGGCATGACTTTGAGAGGTGTGAATGGCAGCAGTGGTGAAAGGTACTAGAGGGGTTTCACACTGCGTGCAACGTGACAAGGCCGCGAGAGCGTGGCTGTTCACGCGCATGAAATGATACGGAAGGTTGATAGCACGGACACAGACACACACGTACAAGCACGCACGCACACCCGCACACACACACACGCACAAAGACACACACACACATACACATACACGCACGAATGGACAAGCAAACACAAAGGCAGCCATTCCTCGCAAGCAGTCTACACTCACGCCTGGCAAAGTCACAGTCCGTATTCTCAAATCGAATTTGTGATCGTGGACAAGTGCAGGTGTTGTCAAAGGACAAACAGGTATCGTCGGCATCTGCAGAAACAGCACACAAGACAATATCATAAACCAGTGAATTTTGACTGGGGTCTTCGCTTCGCACTTTCCTCAAGTACCGTATTTTCCGGAATAGAACTCCCACCTTTTGCACCAAACTTTAAGGCAAAAAAAGAGAAGGAGAAGTACCTTACAATCAAGTGTGACATCCTTATGTAAAAAAATACATTGGCGAATGGCTGAAACTTGAAAAATGGGAGACTTATAATCGAGTGCAACATACAGCGAAAGAACATATTAGTGGACCCACACGTCGCGAAAACTTGATGTGTGGCAAGTTCTACCAGCCGCCAGGAATGTTGATGCGACCGGGGTTCCTTTTAGGGCCGCCATAGACTGACGGACAGGCACACGGGGTACATGGATGCGGCTGATGGGGTTTCTCGGCACTTGTGTCAGTGATTCTGAGACTTATCCCCTCACCCCCACCGTTAGGCGCTGCATCTACCGCTAGGGTTTACCGGGTGCTAGCGGCCGCCGAGAGTTCCCTTCGGGAACGGACACGATAATTTACTTTTTTACTTTCATAGACTGACGGGACATACAGCGGTTCTATCAGAAGGCATGGGACCTCGGTTGTAATTCACACTTTTCTTCCTTTTGTGGACATATAAGAGGACACATGGGTACGAGCAATGTATTTTGTATTTGTATTTATATCATTATCTCATGGCACATCATGATGACGGCCAATAAATCTGAGACAAGGGTGAAAGCCAACCACAGCAGTAAAACAGATAAAAGAATACAAATAAGAGGCAAAGAAGGCAAAGGAGGAGACAAACCAGCAGGATATACATGAAACCTATAATTGAGCAGAGATTTTAGCAACAAAATTATCCATCGAGGTGCTAGTCTTGGCCTGCGTTGGTAATGTTGCCCAAAACACATAGCCAGCAAAGATCGGGGATCTAGTGAATAGGGTGGAGGCAGCGCGTGGGAGACTGAGTGAGTTCCGGGTATTCCGTGTTTCGGAGAACCAATTATAAGCCTGCATATGCAAGGGTATTTTATTTAGTAATATTTTATGTATGAGAACACAGAGGTGGTACTTATGTCGAGTGGAAAGGGGACTGATCTTGGCAATTTCGTAAAGACTAGCGGAGGGAAAGCGACGATCTTTGCTAAATAAGATTTTAAGGAGCATGCGGTTATGGGTTTCTAGCTTGTTCAATACAGTAGTAGTTATGCCAGACCAAGCAATATCACAATGAGTACCGTAATTTCACAAATTTTCGGTGTACTTTTATTTTCGGTACTTTCGGTGCGTCTGTTTCATACCAAAAAAATTTCAATACACCGAACAAACACTAACACACATAGTCCAATAGGGAACTGCTTCTCTGTACCTAAAATGTCTGATCACCTAACCTGGACTTTTGCACTCATTCCGAAAATATTGAGCACCAAATATTTCTGAAATTAGAATAACTGTCAGCTACCGTAACTCGAATCTAAATCCTGGGCAATCAGCAAGTGTGATACCGGGTCACAACCTCACATACTAGTGAGGCATTCAAGTTGATTCAACCTGACAGTTAACTCTTATCTACAGCAGTGCGCAAACCAACAGCCTTCCAGGTTGGAAGGTTCAAGTTCATGGTGGGGCCGAAGAGGGGAAACCTCACATACTAGTGAGACATTCAAGTTGATTCAACAACCTGACAGCTAACTCTCTAAACACAATCATATCTACAGCAGTGCGCAAACCAACAGCCTTCCACATTGGAAGGCTGTTGGTTGTTGTAAAATGATGTGTTGTTTTCCTGTGTGATGGCATTCCCCAACCTGTCTCGTCTAGTCGCGTGCATGTGTGATATGAGCATGCGCGATTTTGTAGTCGAGAGTCCTTTTTGTCAGTCTTCTTGATCGTATTCGTCTCTGTCTGAGCAGTTTGCTTTTCCGTCTTGTCAATATAAATAATGTAACAAACTAGTCTTGTCCTTTGTGTCCTGCGTCCCGGGGAACGGAATGGCTGAGATTCCGTTACAACGCTAGGTTTTCGTTTCGCCCTGTGTCGTGGCCTGGTTATAGAGCGTTGGCTCTAGGTTTTTGTTTGGCCCTGTGTCGTGGCCTGGATTTTATTTTAGAGCATCGGCTCTTGGTTTTTCTGTTTTGCTGTGGTTCCTTTTGCTGTTGTGCATGTGGAACGTGGTGTCGGTTTATTATTTTGTGGAATGTCATCAAGGGGGCAGGTGTTGTAAAATGATGTGTTGTTTTCCTGTGTGATGGCATTCCCCAAACTGTCTCGTCTAGTCGCGTGCATGTGTGATATGAGCATGCGCGATTTTGTAGTCGAGAGTCCTTTTTGTCAGTCTTCTTGATCTTGTTCGTCTCTGTCAGAGCAGTTTGCTTTTCCGTCTTGTCAATATAAATAATGTAACAAACTAGTCTTGTCCTTTGTGTCGTGCGTCCCGGGGAACGGAATGGCCGAGATTCCGTTACATGGTTCATGGTGGGGTCGAAGAGGGAAAGGTGAGCGCAACAAACGTGTGCAAAGCTAAGCCCCATGGCAACAAAAAATGTCGACTGTTAGGGGTCGTCGCAACAGTCTTTCGTCGTCCCTGAAGCGAACATTGTTCATTTCGTGCTCGGACCCCCCCCCCCCCCCCCCCCCCCCAGTAAAGTCCTGAAATCATACTCTGTATTTTGAGATGTACGACACATCTTTCCCGATATTGTGATCACACACTCGCACGTGTACACGGCATTGCTCTAACTTAGTAACAGCATAATTCCGGGGCCGGAGCACACGCGCGTTACACGCAAAGTGGACTGACTGTACGCTGGCCTGATCTTGATACTGGACGTCTGTGCAGGGCATGCGCCAACAGACTCAGTAGCGTAGGAAATGCACATAAGCTACAGGCTTGTCCCTGTTACGATTAGACAAAGTCTTGTCGATCACGGTATGTGCTCCTTACAGAACCAGAAGGTGTCCACCACGGTGACGATAGATAATACGCACGCACCACTAGCAATCCCAGCCATCACTACAAACACCACGGCCAGGAACCAGCCCTGCGGGGACAGACAGATAGACAGATAGACGCCATCACAAGCAACACACAGCCAACATCCGGAAGTCGACCGTCGCGAGGGCGGAAAGTGGGACGAGTCTAAAGTTTACAAAATATTTATATGACCCTGCCATCACACACCTGTTTCTATTTGTGTATGTGTGTGGGGGGGGGGGGGGGGGGGCTGAAGGTATAATGCGGGTATGCGATGTGGGGGGGGGGCTTTGGCATCATGGGGTAACACGGTGATCAGGGGGTGGGGGACTGATGAATGGCATCATGCGGTTGATGTGGTCTTCGACGGGGGGCTGAGCCCTGATGGCGTACTGCTTGAGCGTATGTGTATGCACATGTACGGGTGAAAGCAGCAAAATGTCCTGTCAGTCTCTTACCGAACAGAATGCTGGCGAACAGCATTCCCGCTTGATGGTACGGCCGGCTTTTGCAGCCTGACAGCCGTACACCAGGGCGCACACTGCTGCTGCCCCCTCCTGTTATTGTGTTCGTGTGTGTGTGCATGCGTATAAATCCAGCACAGCAAGACATGCAAGAATTCATCAGAAACACAAAATCCAACACTAGTCTCATCACACCACCACGAAACCGAGAGGAAAACAGCACGAAACCAAGAGGAAAACAGCTCGAAACCATTTCGCTATGTCTCCACTGTCCACCAGCACGATTTAAGAATGCAATCATTAAACTGCATCACACCGCGCCCACCATTCAGCCCGCTCAATCGTGAGGTCATATATTAATAACCCTCTATTACCGCCATTCGCCAAAAATAATTTCTATCAGGCGCGTAGCTCATATGCAGTCAGCGTAGTCCTGTCACCACACCTGCAAATGGCTGTCGTAGGTACAGGAAATACTGCATATAACGTGCCTCTTTGATTTTCGATAATTTATCACTGTATCCGGTGCATCGCTATAGCCGATTTGCATGTATGACTGACACATGGCACATGACTGCGCACGGAATGATGCGTACATGCTGGAAAAAGCATGCTGACGGTACATGGATGCTCCGTAGACTGTGGAGCATGCAGTGCAGTGCACACTAGCGCAGCAACTGCTTTGCTACATGTGCCTGGTTACAGCATACAGGGACACCAGAGAAATTTCTCTCAGCCACGTCAGCTGCCAGATGCACACAGGCAACACTGGATCAGTTTTGGAAGAAGTGTACTGGAAGAACATTTGTTTTGTCATCATCACTCCTGATCACTACATGCGATATTTTCCTGTACATTTGATATGGTTTGCTTCCTGAAGCCCATCACAATAAGCGATACCGGTATATCGGTATAGCCGATAATAGTGTATAATATATAGTGATATTTTAGCTGTATTTTTCTGATTTGAGATTTGATTTTGACGAGTTCTATCATTATAGCCGGTATAGCATCACACCCGGTCATTTTATAAACCATACTCACTCTACTATATACAGTCAATTTCGCTAATAACGACTGCGGATATAACGACAATTCGCGAATAACGACAGAGTTTCCATGTCCATCACAAAGTCCCATCGAACTGAATACATACCATGAGGCTTCGGGTATAACGACACTTCGCGAATAAGGACACCTTTCTGATGCCCCGGCAAGTGTCGTTATACACAAAGTTGACTGTAGTCAAAAACGGGTAAAGCGGCTGAGGTTGCCGTTGGTACGTAGTCACCACACCACAGATGTCCTCTGGAACAAAGCCACCGCACCACAGATGTCCTCTGGAACAAAGCCACCACACCAAAGATGTGAGAGGTACGCCCCTGTATGTGATCTGATCAGGACCACTTATTATGAAACAAGCAAGCATGCACGCGTGCTTCTTTGGAGCGAAAATCATGCGAAGCGAAAAGCTAACTCCGCACGAACATTCGCAGACATTTTCGCAAGCCAATACACGAAAATGCACGCAACGTTTCACTTTGCAAAGCGTCTAAGTTAATTTATGAGTGTACTGTACTCTTCTTTTCTTGTGAAGGCTAGCATGACTTGGCTCTGGGGGGGGGGGGGGGTGATAAAGGCCCTGCTGGTCACGGATAAAGCCCCCCCCCCCTGCGAGTCCCCTTCATGGGCAAATACTTTTTAGCGTTACAAGACAGTAGTGACTAGTGTCATGTATGACTGTACTACAGTAGTGATCAGATCTAAAAAGTTTCCTTCCCAGGGGCGTGCTTGGCGAGGGGCACAGGGAGCAAGTGCACCCCCCCCCCCCCGAAATATTTCGACCGGGAAGCCCGACCTCGCGGGAGCACATCCACAGATGAGGTGCTGTTCTTTCGACGCTCTCCTCGCCGAATCCGGTCCAGATACGTCAACTGGTGTGACAATTGTTCTTAGCTATATCCGTGCAATGTGTGTTTGCATCGGCCTGCCTGGCACAGTGCCGTCGACGGATCGGTTTTTAAACATTTGTAAAGTTTTCATCCTAATATTTTGAAAAAATTGATAATAATTGATGCTGTACTGTGTTCATTCTTGATGACATGCAATCTTTGTAACAGTAATAATGACCGTCACATGTACAAATAATATTATCTGATGATGTCACCGGTACAACCTTTTGAAAATTGTGGTTCACCCCCCTGAAAGGGGAGCCGAGCACGCCCCTGCCTCCCTTTTCAGGAACATTGGCTACGGACCATTGCACTTACCAGCACTCCTAACCAGATGCCCGGAACGAAGAGACGTTCCTTCCACAGAACCTCGCTCTTGTAGCCGAGCTGGTACACCGCTATTCCTTTGCCGACTGGAATGACGTTCAGGACGAACGCGATGAAGCTGAGAACGATGGACACGATGGCAAAGCCAGCTAGGGTGCCACTCGCGCAGCCTGACGGCCTCAGCCGCGTATGCGGCAATACGGTGTCCGTATGTGTCGTCGCAGTCGTGGTGACTCCCGCGCTGCCGTAGTTGACCGGAGGATTCATGTGAGAGTCTCGAGCATCCTGTTGTAAAGGTTGGTAGGACATGGCTGCAAGAGATTTCAGAGAGAACGTAGATCTACTGCAGTATATACACAGAAATCTACTGCAGTAATACTATGATTGTGACAGTATGTTCTCCGTGAGTAAAACTAAAATATTCTGGCAAGCTGCTGTCTTGAAATCCAAAATAATTGCACGCACGCACACCGCACAGAGGAAAAGCAGAAGGACATGTAGCAAGATGCGGTTCTGGCTACACATGCACTAGCCGTTACTTGGCCAGGCTCGGGAGTCGGGACCGTGACCCGTTCACGATGCGCACTGTCTGTAGATCTACTACGCGCACGCCTACAGGCTACATACACGGCATAGATCTAGTACTACGGCTACAGTCAGACTGTCAGTACAAAATGGAAAGTCGGGAGACTTGTGTGAAACCGGTGCACTTGACTTTTGAACGCGGGCGCGGCGCGGGCCGGGGGATGTGATGCGTCGACGTGTGATGAAGCTTTTTGGATCATGGAGGAAATGAAAAGTACACAGTCGACAGCTAGCATACACATAATGACACTTACATTGTAGTCTCTATCTACCTGTACTGTGCCTGTGTCTGTGATCTACCTGGCCTGGCCACGGCTAGCTGTCAGTTTTTGTAGTCACGTCCTTCAAAAAAAAAAAAAAAATTAGCCAGTGCAGGCTGTCGTAATAAAACGACTCATCCGTGTTCCATTCCCGTGCATGGTACATGCATGGTGCGACGGCACAATGACAGCTGTCGCAAATCACACTGAGTATTACACGTGTTTTTTGGTGATTCCTGGTTAGCTGCTAGCTTTTCCCTACTCGAAGTTGTTGCCGCCGCGAAATCTGGGGGTTTGTGTTCGTCCTGGCGAAAACCGTGTTTTGATCCGTTGAGGGAGACGAGAGATGCAGTGCGAAGACGTACGATCTGTCCGAGAATCGGCGAAGAAGAAAGCTTCGCAGACTACCCGTAGTAGTTGGAATGGAACATATACCAGTCGATGCCTGTCATGGTAGGGATGACTGCTACGAAGTTTTAGCCCCATGCTCCCCAGCGCTTTTTAGCGCCCGACGATAATTACCAAATTTCATCGATTTTCCATGTGGATCAAAGCATAGTCTCCTCAATCTTCTCCAGTCGAGCAGAGTCTGGACGCTACAATGTCGAGACGCGAAAAGAGAACATGCATGAACACACAGGAGCATCACATGCAGCTGCATTCTGCCTTGACGAAGCTGAGAACAACACCAGCACCACGCATTTGGAAGACATTTCGAAGAAGACGAAGAACTACATATCCGCGTTCAAAAAAGCCTCTGTACTGCGTGTGTGCATGCAGTATGCATGCATGCATGCGCGAAGCACGGGGTCCGCGGATCAACTTCGTTCAAAAATCATTGTGCCACACGGGTTGTATGATTTGTGTGCGATCATGGTCTTTCTTCTTGACAAACAAAAGTGAAGTTTTTCGATCTTCAAATCGCCATAGCGTCCTTGTCATGACTCCAAATCAGCTGAAACTTTGCAGGAGGAATGAAAATGCCATGCTGAATCGATTGGTACCATTTTCGAAGGGTTTCCTTGAAAAATAAAATTTAGCCTGCACTGGCTGCTTCAAGGAAGAAAGGAGACGCATGATCCTTGCTGATTTGAGTCTCTCAGCGTGTGCTCATACTCCCTACGCAGCTAGCTCAACATCAGGTGCATGGTTATTCCTGTATCTCTCTGCCAAGCTGTACAGGGCGATAAGTTGTGCCAGGCTGTGTAGATACGCGCTGAGCTGAGAGCGCTTGCATTCACAACTTCAAAGTTCAAACAGCGATCGAAAGCGCTTGGTTGGAGTACCGGTTGAGTGGGTAGATAGAGTAGCTCATGTCGCAGAAGTGAATATAATAAATATTATACAGTGGTCCCTCTATAATCCGGCACCATTTGTGCCACGAAAATCTGCTGGATTAGGGAGGGTGCTGGATTTTAACAAATCTGATTTACTGCTGCAATGTGCATGAAGAGGACATTTTGGCTACTGAAAATTGTGCTGGTTTATCGAGGGTGCTGGATTATAAAGTGCCGGATTAGAGAGGGACGACTGTATAATATATTAATATTATTATTTCCTGGTGTTCATGTGGCCATGCAAGGACCACTAGTCACTAGCACTTGCAGCTGAGGACCAGTTATTTCGGCCTAGTGACTGGCGTTGACACCCGTACCAAGGCAACTCAGCAATCATCCGGGCTGTGATTACCTGCCAAAAATACGAGGCCCAGTTGTTCACATAGACAACATGGGATGATGATTTTTCAACATGCTATGTAATGTACTACTTCTGGCTATTTTGAATCCAGAGACGATCGTTGATCATCTGCGTATCAGTTGTGGTTGTGGCTTTGGATGCGGATATGAAGGGTTTATGCTCACTCTGCGTTCGTTATGCACCCGGACCAGTCCTGTTGCCATCTCTGCTGTAAACATGGTATTCCACTATCTCTAGGGAGAAAACCCAGTCGTTCTGGTATAAAACTATTCCTGTGATAGCTGTGCTGGTACATGTTCAGCACAATAACCAGTACGCTGCACTCAACTGTAGGTGATTAGGGCTAGGGGTTGTCGCAAACGTTTTTTTTGTCGTCCCTGAAACGAAGATCGTTCTTTTTGTACCCAGACCCCTTCCCTCCTCTGAAACGAACACAGCTTGCTATGCTGGACGACGAAAATCGCATGCATGTACCGGTACATGTACATGACATAATTACATGTACCATGATTACATGTATGTACAGTGTCGATCGACTTGCGATTTTGCTATGCTGGACGACGAAAATCGCATGCATGTACCGGTACATGTACATGACATAATTACCATGATTACATGTATGTACAGTGTCGATCGACTTGCGATTTTGGCTCGCACCCCCCCCCCCCCCACGAATGATGTTCGTTTCAGGGACGACAAAAACTTTTGCGATGACCCCTTATGTTATCTTGAGCTTGATGGTCCATGAATTTAATGCTAAATGGCCTGTGGAGAATCCATACAAAATACAATGAAGTCAACTGATCATTATGTGTGTGGGACTCAGCAGGCAACCAAACGAGAACAAAAAATTAAGTCCTGCCTGAGTCAGAAGTCAATCCCATAATGTTCTGGACGTGGATTGGCAACTAAAGAGGAGCAACGTGTAAATGATTCTCACACAAGTGACGAAACTCCCCCTCTCCCCCCCCCCCCCCACACACACACGCACAATGGTTGCCTCTTTGCTTTGTCATATCACAACCATTCAACGCGGTGAACCCCTCGATAGGCGATATGCCTTTGGGTCATCCTGATAAAGTAGGAGTGTGTATCCTTCCGATCCATTTTTACTCACTTACACTTGTCCAATACGCTTCAGACTTTGTGTACATGACCGTCAAGTACAAGCAAACAATTTCCAGCATAGAAACATTTTTCAAATTTTGACCTACAAGTACATGTACACGTAAATTGTATAGGTCTGTTTTTGCATTACATGTATGTACATATATACAGAAGCCTTGCTTGGTAGTTTAACATGTTTTTCGAATTTTGACAGCATGTTACAAGGCGAGGACGCGTAGTGCTCCTGACTACAACCATAACCCGGTTGGCAGAGTCCCGGTCTTGCGACCATTTGAACCGTATTGGGAAAACCCAGGTTCGGACCCTCGTTACTCTACGGGTTGGTAGGATTTTTATAATTACCGTTTTTTGTGTTGTAGAAGTCGTCGTGTTGCCGCCGTAGTATTGTTCACGTTGCTGCCGCTGCAGGGATCACGTCTGGAAGGATTTGTGATGTTATTTTCTTGTCTTCCTCTGTAATTAAATTATTTGTAATTTATATTTCTTTTTTCGTTTGTTCTTTTTCTTTTTTCTTGTCTTTTTCCAACTTCTGCCCATGGCATCACCAACCTCGTCGGCAGCGAGCACCTTCTCACAACAGTCGTCATGGTGATGACTATGACTGTTACAGCTGACGAGCTGAGAGAAGGACGCCATGGGCAGAAGTTGGAAAAAGACAAGAAAAAAGAAAAAGAACAAACGAAAAAAGAAATATAGATTACAAATAATTTAATTACAGAGGAAGACAAGAAAATAACATCACAAATCCTTCCAGACGTGATCCCTGCAGCGGCAGCAACGTGAACAATACTACGGCGGCAACACGACGACTTCTACAACACAAAAAACGGAAATTATAAAAATCCTACCAACCCGTAGAGTAACGAGGGTCCGAACCTGGGTTTTCCCAATACGGTTCAAATGGTCGCAAGACCGGGACTCTGCCAACCGGTTTATGGTTGTAGTCAGGAGCACTACGCGTCCTCGCCTTGTAACATGCTGTCAAAATTCGAAAAACATGTATGTACATGTACTTCGAAGTACATGTACATGTACATGTACTTTCGGGCCTGGTTTAAATCTGGCTTTGGAAAATATATTTTTCATTGCTATCAGGTTCGGCCTCATTTCCTTTGTGCTGCGCTGATGAGTCCACAAAGGACGAAACAGTTCTGTCCGCAGATTGATGTACATTGCACATGTACAATGATGTACAAATAATCTACGTGGAGATAATAATTTTAATAATATGAATATGATTAAAGGGGAAGTATACTACGTGGTTCGCGGCTGTAGTTTTTATGGTGGGAGATCTGCGCCAAGCCAATGCTGGATTGTTCAATAGTAGACGCTCTGCAGAGCCTGGGAGCCATTGCCCATGACAGACCAGCATGGCGAGATCTATGCATGAGGGTCTGTGCATTGTGATATTCCGACAGATCCTGAAACAGTCAAACTCAGGAAATAGCACTATCATTATCACTCAGGCTGCAATATTCATATTATGGACATATTCATAAATGACATATCTTCAATACCCATGAGCTACATTGTATATAATATATATGATATAAGTATCATAATTATTATTATCATCGTTCTAGCTCATTTTTTCCCTGTCATAGTCCTGTTTATCATGTTCAGCATAAGCGAAGTTGTGGATCATGCTTGCATGGTTGACTCCAACGCGTACATGCAAGTAATAAGTAATAATAATAATACCCTAAAATCAAATTTTCACCAGTTGTAGTCTTCTGGGTGCTGAGTCGAATGGTCTTGGTCCGAGGAAGCTGCGACGCTCCCTTCCTACTTGAATCCCAATCGAACTCGCGCACTTCCACCGAAACTGGGTGACTGC